TATGTTTTAAAATCTGCTGATTGCTTTATTACGTTTTAAAATCTGCTGATTGTTATATTACGTTTTAAAATCTGCTGATTGCTTTATTACGTTTTAAAATCTGCTGATTGTTATATTACGTTTTAAAATCTGCTGATTGCTTTATTACGTTTTAAAATCTGCTGATTGTTATACGTTTTAAAATCTGCTGATTGCTTTATTACGTTTTAAAATCTGCTGATTGTTATATTACGTTTTAAAATCTGCTGATTGCTTTATTACGTTTTAAAATCTGCTGATTGTTATATTACGTTTTAAAATCTGCTGATTGTTATATTACGTTTTAAAATCTGCTGATTGTTTATATTAACGTTTATAAAAAATCTGCTGATTTCTTTATTACGTTTTAAAATATGCTGATTGTTATATTACGTTTTAAAATCTGCTTATTGCTTTATTACGTTTTAAAATCTGCTGATTGCTTTATTACGTTTTAAAATATGCTGACTGTTATATTACGTTTTAAAATCTGCTGATTGTTATATTACGTTTTAAAATCTGCTGATTATTACGTTTTAAAATCTGCTGATTGTTATATTACGTTTTAAAATCTGCTGATTGCTTTATTACGTTTTAAAATCTGCTGATTGTTATATTACGTTTTAAAATCTGCTGAGTACACGACAACTGCACGTCACCTGTGCACCACCAGTCAAAGATTCTTCTGCGTATATACACAGAATTACCCATCTCTTTAAATATTCTTCCTTTCTGTGTAGTGAAGTTGAAATTTGCGTGTATGAGGATGTGCAAGTTCATGAAACGTGAATACATAGTGAACTGTGACTTCGAGGTTTGATTTTGACTGTTTTATTTCATATATAACCGAGCCGCGGGGACGATGATCCTTGAGTCACTAATATCATATTACAGATTAAATTTAATGAATAAACATTTAGAAGGATTAAAACGATTTTGAAAATATCGTCGTCGTCTTGATTTCTGATACCTAAACATAATCTATTTTCTTGAAACATTAATAAACCCTTATATACAGAAAGAATGTATGTACAACCACATAATAATCTGAAGTCAACAATTTGTTGTGTGCCTCTAGGAACACTGCTAGAGAATCAGTAATGAACATTTATTACCGGTGTCCATCATCTTAAATTATGCTGTCAAGCAATGCATTAATTTATACTCTTTATAATGGTTTGAAATACTTTGAATTAAAATTGGCGGAAGCAGTAACAAAAAATATAACCTTAATTTATGGGGTCAATAACAAATAACAGTTAGGAAGACTACTGTTCTTTAGGGGGCCGTGTTCATGATGTTGTGTGTTTGTACACAAACATTTGCTACACATAAACAACGTCTCTTAAGCTACAAATGAGAATCTTGTTATTGGTTTTTCTTCAGCGGAGTTTGGGCTCGGCTTGGTGCACCTGGGAGCTGATTAACACGCACTGTCAAGCGAGCTGAGACGTTTGGCCATGTCTCTGTACACTTGCTGTCCTGTTTACCTAGAAGTAAATAGGTACTTGGATGTTAGTCGATTGTTGTGGGGTTGTAGCTTAAGGAAGATCTATGGGTCTTAGAGGAAATATACCCGGTGCTTGGCTTTCTTGGGCTATCATAGTTAATAACCCTCCCAGTTATTAACCCTTTGGGGTTATTAACCATAAAGTGGTAATTAACTTTCCAGGTTATTTTACCCTCCGTGCTAATTAGGACATGAAAACTTTACGCTCCTAACGATTGCTATTATTATTATTATTTAGAACTGGGGGGAGGGCTTGAACCCCGTGGCAGGTGAGTCTTAAAATTCGAGGCAGTACGCTAACCACTATGCCAGCTGGCTCTAATAAAATTATCCAATTGCTTAGCACAATGGCCTGTGAGTTATAGAACTCACCTGTCATGGGTTCGAGCCCCAACCATTCTCTGATTTGTATAAAATCGTGTTATTACGATTTCATTAATCATGATGGCAACTTTGAAAGAACGTGAGCTAGAGCAGGCCACAGGGCACGCTGTTGTTGGATTACTCTGTAAAAACCTGCATTTGCGGTCATACTGGTGGCCCATGTTAACCCCTCTATAGTGTATAGAAATAAACCTAGATGGCCAAGTGGTTAACGCACTGGCCTGTGAGTTTTAGCACTCACCCGCCATGGGTTCGATCCCCGTCCGTTTTGTGAATTATTTCCAGTCATGTTATTATGATTTCGTGAGTTATCATTATTATTATATTATAGTCCCTTGGAGCATTTACCATAGGGGTCAAAAAGCTCCTGGGGAATAAGAGGCAGATTCAGTTCAAGAGAAGACAGAGAATAAAAAAGGCACAATACCGTGACTGGAACAATGAACAAGTAATCCACACGCAGGAGACTGAAACGTAATTATTTATCTCAGTTTCTCATGTACGGATTATTTATGTAAAGGGAAGATAGATTAAATTCTATGGGTCTTGAGCCATTTACCGGCATCAAGGGTCTTCCATTGAGAGGCCCTCAGGGTGCTGATCTCCAGCTCCTGGATCCCTTAAACTTAATTATTAGGTCTCCTCAGGGAGTTTAGTTGCATCTCTTCTGCTTCTTAAGAGTTGGAGGTTCAGCTATGCCTTTTGCCTGGAAGGAGGGCTGGGATTATGAGATACGGGTATAATTTTTTCTCTCTGCATTGCAACTAAAATAAAATTAGTTGAAAGACGATTGCACAGTTAGTGCTCTCGGTCTAATTCTCCCTGGTTATAGTCAGAAGTTTATCTCACTATTACCTACTCGCGATGCTCTCCCATTAATGTTCATAGTTGCTTTGCTGTTGTCCTTGCAATTCTATGTCGGTTTCCTTTTATTTTTTTATGATGGTAGATTACTACTGCTACAATCTTTGTCCCTGTTATTATTTTAACTGAAAAATTATCCGCAAACCCCTCTGCAGTCTGGTGTTTCCGTTTCTTAAAACCTTTATTTTCTAACTAATGCTGCTACTACTCACTTATTTTTTATTTCTTTTATTTCTTATCACTTGGTATTCCTCGGTAAATAGTGCGTCTGTTATTGCCTCCGCTAATTTTGCTAAATTTTTTTGCTCATTTGTCTGGGTTAATGTCTCTTTTTTGTTTTAAATTACCCGCTTTCCTAGATATTAAGCCAACATTTGTGTACAGAACTTAAAGACCTTGTCTTTAATGGGCTGTAATATTAATGTTTTTGGGGGATTTCAAGGAAAAAGTGGACGAGAGGAGCTTACTGAATTGGGAGGTGAAGTTAGTGAATTTTGGGTGAGTAGATTTTGAGTGACATGTAGTGACACTTGGTGTGTATGATGGGTTTATAGAGTGAAGAGGTTCGTATTAAATGGAGAAAGAATGAGTTAGATACGAAGAGGCATGTGTTGGTAATGTGAAGGTGGGGGCTCCTGGTGCATTCTTTCAGGTAGAGGAATGAGGCCGGGTGAGTATTCTTCTGACTCCCTAAACTTCCTTTCAGTTTTATTAACATTATCGCTGATGTATACTTAACTTTCCGGGTCTTTATATTCTATCTTTATCTCATTTTACCAAAAAATTTGCTAAATTAATAGATTCCCAGAACTGCTTTTAAATTTCCAGTATTTTTCCTACGTCTTTTCATTTCAGAAAACCAACTGATTTTTTTTTTTTTTTTTTTTTGGGTGGGGGGGGGAATTATTGTTTAAATTTTCCCTTATCCTTTCAAGCCCTCCATAATCTGCCTCATAGGAGCACAAGTAGTCTCCTAACACTGAAAATACCCTTATAAGGTGACAAACTTGTATCCCAGGTATCCCTTGAGGCATTGTGTCCTAACGTTAGTGTTGGCTCTTGATTCAAGGTATTTGGAACTACCATCCCATTCGTCGAATCACATTTGGTTACCTCGTCGCTGGAGCAATTCATAAATAACCCAAAAGTTTCAGAGAAAACAGACGACATTTCGTTCGCTCCTGGACCGAAACGTTGTACAAAGTTTCCTCCCTAAAATGTTAGATATATTGGAATACCTCTCAGTCTCCAGACGATCTTTGACGCTCATGAATTTAGCGCTTACATAGAAAAGTATTATTATTATTATTATTATTATTAATTATTATTATTATTATTATTATTATTATTTATTATTATTATTATTAATTATTATTATTATTATTATTATTATTATTATTATTAATTATTATTATTAATCACCTAGCCTCGGTGGGAAACGGCCGTGTTAAAAACAACAACAACAACAACAACAACAACAACAACAACAACAACAACAAACAACAACAAACAACAACAAACAACAATAACAACAATAACAACAACAACAACAACAACAACAACAACAACAACAACAACAACAACAACAACAACAACAACAACAACAACAACAACAACAACAACAACAGCTACCAAATTCAGACAAAATATTTACGAAGTGAACAGTGGGGTCAATTATTATCTGCTGATCAGGAAACTGCTATATGCTGGTAGCCTCTAATTGAGAAATAAATATTTTCAGCTCACATCAATAAGCATATCATCATATGAACCGCCTATTGGATTAATAATTCAGTATCAGTTTTAATATTTAAATTGTGGGCTTTAAAATTAACAATATAAATTGTATGCTGAATCGAATATACACCATCCACATATGAATGTGCAGGTATTTACTGTCAATATGTGAGTTTGTTTGTATAATAGTACCCATGTGTGTGTGTGTGTGTGCGTGTTGATGTATACACATCCCCATGTGTATGCATTACACATGTGTGGGTGTTAGTATATACACTTTCCACGTGTTTGTATAATTATATGCATTACTCATGTATGATGGTATTCATATACAAAACGTAGCGATGTATCAGGAAAGTTTAAGAGTACACAGCAGTCTTATTAAATGGATAATAAATAATTTTACAAGTTATACAGTAACCATAGCTAATACAAACGGGAAAATATAAATGAATCACATTCCTACAATTTAATTATTTTTCACCTCGTTTATAGGGACATGCAGGTGAGTGCAAATAAGAAGTGCGCTAAATGTCCCACAATGGGTTTAGCGTTTAACATGAATCAGTGATTAAGCAACCCTCATTTATAACATGTCTAAGCTTGGTTTCTGACCATGGCATAGCTTTTCCGAAAGGTCTCTTGCATTTGGCACGGAGACCTGCACTTGCTGGTTGTCATTACTTGTAGATGCCGTGGGAAAGTTATGGGACCTGAAAATGCTAATAATGAACCGCTTGCTTCTGACTGAGTTCTTGCTTGTTCCGCAGGTGTCGTGGATCCGACACCGAGACCTTCACGTACTGACGGTCAGCTCCTTCACATTCACCAATGACGACAGGTTCTCCGCTCACCGAGACCCGTCCACGGGGGACTGGGTGCTGGTGCTGCGCCGGCCACTTCCGTCGGATTCTGGGTTCTACGAATGTTCCATCTCCACCAAGCCAGTAACCACCATCAGTGTCAAGCTCGACGTTGTTGGTGAGTACCGGAAGCGTTCAGATGATCCGGAGAGAAGGTGATCAAGGGATCAAAGAAAACCTGGGGAGAATGAATGGCAGTTGCGCTCGATCCAAGGAAAATAAGAACATATTCTATGCCTTGGATCAACAACTCCCCGGCATCAGGTGAGCGGTTTTGAGACTATACACTTTGTGTTATGTTAAACCCGTGTGGGTTATTCATTGAGAGGAGTGGTAGACTCGATCCTGCATCTGTAATCATGACTCAGACACGATGTCACATCAAGCACCAGTCATAAGATATGAATGATTCTGGAATCTTTCGAGACGTCTTCCTGCCCCCTTGTGTGTCAACACCGTGTCAACACCATGTCAACACCGTGTCAACACCGTGTCAACACCGTCTGCAACTAGTCACAAAATAATCCAGACACCAAAGTGGGTATCCATGAATAGTAATGTTTAACTAGTACCCACAATTGTAATTAAGAATTCCTGAAAGCCTCCCATTCTCCCAGGTGCTATATGACCCCTACTGGTTTAGCGCTCCTCCCATGTATGTAACAATAACAATATCTAAGAAATCCTACATTCTGTTTTGGCACAAATTACTTAAGATAATCACAGTAAAACAACGACTAGGCCCAGATACGGATCTTACCATCGCGAAGTTTTATTTGTAACACTAACAGATAATCACTGCAATACCAAGTGTAGTTTTTACTTATATGAAAGCTAAACTAATGCACATCTATAGCAAATGTGTTAATTGGAACCATTATATAAATATAGACTAACCTGTCAAACCATACATAATATTTATAATTTAAACTTATATTAACCTACATATGACTCTATGGAATGCGACTTTGGTATTCGTAGTTTTGACAGAAGACATGAACAATGAGTGAAGGAACGTCAGAAGTTAACATAATTTTGGTTGCAGCTTCGAAATGCATAGATTTTCCCCTCCCCTTCCTCCCTCCCCCAAGCTGTTAGTTTATTGTGTACCCCCATTTAAATCCTGACTGCGGGTGTGCATGGACATATGAATTCACAATAAACCAAAAGTTAACAAAAGTACCTTATGGTATAACATTTTAAGTAGTTTCAGGATATTTGCAAAGCAATTTACATAATTTACATAATTTGACATTTTTAACGTACCGTCTATCTCTGTATTCCTCATTAGAAAATCTAGAGCAGTGTTCAAGAAAGTGACCATAAAGCAGACTGCATACTTTACATCCAGTTTGATCATCGTCGTTGTACTAAAGTGCCAGAAGCACCTATAATCGAGCCTAAGCGTAACTACTATAACTTCCGTCAGTCTATTTGACGTGACAAGTTGCTTTGTAAATGTACTCATCGACGTTCCGGTTACAGTGGATTATAGATCTTCTCAGACTTATAAATATATTCTTACAACTTGTAAATTCAATATGTAATGCAGTCCAAATATTATATATAATGCACGCGAAGGTTATATTCTGCTTCTTCTCTTAAAGTAATTTCTTTCAGTTCTGGGTCCGCCAGAAGTAAGGATAGATTTCATCACTTCTTGCTCATTTTCACTTGTAGTAAATAGGTATACGAGTGTTATCTGACTGATATAGGCCTCATCCTGGGGGTGGTTTATCATAGTTAATATTTGACTTTGAAACAAGCTGGAGGTGGATAACACTGCCTAGAATGTATAAATTAACTGTTTAGAAAAGAAAAGAACACTTCACTTTCTTGGATCTGATACTTTCTCAGGCACTCACACACTGTTTACCGTTAACGCTCCAGGAAGTCTCACGAAAATCAACAATGTTGGGGTTCCTACATTCTGTGGGATGGGGGGTGGGGAGGGAAGGACGTAATGTTTACCTCCAAGATCTTCCCACATGATAAAGTTACTGAGTGAGACCTTCCTTGCTAAGTGCTGCGAAGACAGTCATTTGTATGTGTGTGTGTGTGTGTGTGGGGTTGTGTGTGTGGTGGTGTGTGTGTGTGTGTGTGTGTGTTCGAAAAAGCATGATCTTAAAAATTGGAGGATATCTTATTTCTCCCTTCACTTCGATTTTTCATCATCTTTCGATATATTTTTCTAATTGTCGGGACCTTTCTTATTTAACATTCTTTTTTTTTTTTAAATATAAGATCCATCTTCTCGTTTTTCTCTTCATCTCCTTCATGGGACATTTATGGCTCTTCCCTTTGAGTCTTTCTATTTGTCTTTATCACCTTCTAGCAAATAAAGTTCATTCGTTCGTTCTCTCACTTTCTCTCTCCCTCTCTTTCTCTCTTTCTCTCTCTGAAGCTGTACCATTGTTCTTTTAGCCTTTAGAACAAGCCAATGACAAACGTACCGGCAGTTTAAATATAAAGAGTGGACATTGTAAAAATAATCATCAAAGCCGGCTGACACACAAGGACCACATGCACTGAAATAGTCACTAGACGAGGAAAGACATACATGCATGGTTACATAAAAAAAAAATCTAAAAAAAATAGTCAAAGAGGGAAATCCTCAGACTGCAGGTTTAAAGAGACATAACAACCAGGAGAGTGCCCACATTCTCTCTTACCCTTCCTTTGTCCACACTTGCTTTTCCTCCTACTGTTGCCCTCCCTCTTCAGCTCCCAACGTCTTTCCCTCACAATTATCCTCCTTTCCCTACCACCAGCATCCCATCCCAACTACTACCCTCTCTTACCCTTCTACTGCATTCCCAATTTTCACTACTAACCTCTGTCACCATAACTAACGTGGACTCCCCCCCTCCCCCTACTGCAGTACCCTACCACTTCACTGTCCTCCCAGTATTCACTGCTGCACCAGCTCCTTCCCTGCCATATACCTGCACTTTCTCATCCTCAAATCTGTTCCGTCCATCTCCCACGCCTCTTCCTTCCCTCCCTCCACACCTGATCCTTCCCATTCGCAACTTTCTCCTGCCCCACATTTGTTAATTCCCTCCCTCAACTTTGCTCCGTTCCCTCACATCTTCCTTTCCTCCTCTCCACCAGCATCTCTTCTCCAAACCACTTTCTCTCCCCGAACTCCTTCCTTCGCTTGCTTGTGTTAACACTCTGGACACTAAATTGAGACTCACAAATTACCACCCCTTAAACTTTTCCAAGAGATAATTCCTTTTTCCTCAAGAGTCCAACACATCTGCCAGCAATTACTCGGCTAACCTGTCGAAGCTGGCGTCGATCAGGGAGGAAAACAAACAAGGCAGTAGTGTACAACACCGAAAACACTATTATATATATATATAATATATATATATATATATTATATATATATATATATATTTAAAATATATATATATTTATATATATATATATATATACTATATATATGTCGTGGGCCCAATAGGCAGAACTTGAGATCTTGGCTTAAATAGCAACGCTCATCTTGCCATATAGGACAACGAAAATTTGTGTATGCAATAATTTCGCCAAAATCATTCTGAACCTAACGAAAAAATATATTTCACTATGTTTGTTTAGCATTAAATTATTGTAAACAAATCTAAAATACATTTTGTTGGGTTAGGCTAAAATAAATTGTTCTTGTTATAATAAGGTTAGGCAAGTTTTCTAAGTTCTTTTTTGGGGCAAAAATTTTAAATTTTTCCAACAACATTAATGAAAAAAATATAATCTTTAAACGTATAAAAAAAAAATTTAGAAGGACTTTTAATTTTTTAAAAGAGTTCTTGCTAATTGACCAGTTTTACATATTCGGCCGACATATATATATATTATATATATATATATATAATATATATATATATATATATTATATATATATATATATACTATATATATATATATATATTTTTATATATATATATATATATATATATATATATGTCGTGCGAATAGGCAGAACTTGCGATCTTGGCTTAAACAGCAACGCTCATCTTGCCATATAGGACAAGTGAAAATTTGTGAATGCAATAAATTTTCGCCAAAATCATTCTGAATCTAACGAAAAAAATATATTTCACTGTGTTTTTTTAGTATTAAATTATTGTAAACAAATCTAAAATATATTTAGTTGGGTAGGTTAAAATAAATTGTTCTTGTTTTTAATAAGGTTAGGTAATTTTCTAAGATACTTTTGATGCAAAATTATAAATTTTTACATCAACATTAATGAAAAAAAATATATACCTTAAACGTATAAGAGAAATTTCAGAAGGAACTTAATTTTAAAAGAGTTCTTGCTAAATTTACCAGTTTTATATATTCGCCACGATATAATTTTATAAAAAATATATATATATATATATATATATATATATATTATATATAATATATATATATATATATATATATATATATAATATATATATATATATGTCGTGCCGAATAGGCAGAAAAATTTCTATCTTGGCTTAAATAGCAACGCTCATCTTGCCATATAGGACAAGTGAAAATTGTGTATGCAATAATTTCGCCAAAATCATTCTGAACCTAACGAAAAAAATATATTTGATTGTGTTTGTTTTGTATTAAATTATTGTAAACGTATTTAAAACATATTTAGTTCAGTTAGGCTAAAATAAATGCTCTTGTTATAATAAGGTTAGGTAAGTTTTCTAAGATTTTTTTGGTGCAAAATTAAAAATTTTTACATTAACATTAATGAAAAATATATCTTCAAACGTATAAAAGAAAAGTTCAGAAAGGACTTAATTTTAAATGAGTTCTGCTAAATTTACCAGTTTTAATATTTCGGCACGACACATACAACACAAAATATATATAAATATATATATATATATATATATATATATAATATTATATATATATATATATATTTTATATATATATATATAAATATTATATATAAAAAACACTGCACTAACCCTGCTGCTTTGGCGTGCCTCATGGTGGGCGAAAACACATGACGCGAAAACACATTGATCAGTACCACTCGTTCGTGGTTCAAATAATATAAAATACTGCTCGTTGTACTAGCACACCAAACAGGGACTGAATGAAATTAGCCTAGAG